CGGTAGGTGCTGCGCAAGTCTACGTTCACTACAAGATAAATCACGTGCAAGTCACCGTGCTTGCTTCACTTTGTTGTGGAGCGCACGGTTAACCTCATCGTATGCGACGGTCGATCTGTTTAGGTACTCGTGAAGCCTTAAGGATTGTGTGAATATACTATGCCACGCTTCGGTAGACCATGGCCCTCGCAGCCTGGTGTGCGCTTGCAGTTCTCTGGCACCTGATTCCCTGTCGGTGGATGCACTTGTGCTACCGCTGGATTTATAGGACGTGTGCCTAGGTGAGTGTTATCGCCGTGCCAGCCGCCTGTGTTCAAAGCAGACTGACAGTGCCTAAGAAGTACTGCAATGAGCCTATTATATGCTATTCTGTTCTCCCCCCACCCCCGGCCTTCTTGATTTCGTCATGATACCGCATCCAGGCCGGAGAGGAGGAGAGAGTGCTGCAGATTCTGGGAAAGTTTACCACCACTATAAACTAACTCACACACGGGTCGAAGTGCTTGCTGTCACCTTGCCGTGGAGCACAGTGTGGACATCGTCGGCAACGACAGTCGGAGTGTTCCACCGCAGCGTTTCACGGAGGTGCATGTGGCCTAATAGGTCCATGAGATGGCTAAATGAGTAAGGGCGATGGTCTCCACTATGTGCTGGTGCTCCAGGTAGTGTTTCCCAGTCTTTGGGCGATGTATTCGCAAGTGACCGATCAGGCCGATGAGTGAGGTGAAAGTGCGGTGACAGTGTGGACAGGATAAGTTGGGAGATGTTGGGTTGGTTGTTGTTGCGACGCTGCTAGTGGCGTGCACACTGTTCGATGGGAAGTTTATTGGGCTGGGAACGAGAGGGATGGTCGATGTTCAAAGCATGCTACAAGATGTGTTGATACTGCGGTGTATTCCGCTGTCATGTGTACACATGTTACCGAATAGGTCCATGCTGTGTGTGAATGTGCGTGAGCAGTGTGGACAGTGAAGGCCAGTGCACGTGGGCCCTCCTGGCACTGGTGCACCGGTTGCAGTGCGATGAATTCGCAAGTGACCGACCAGGCAAGACTGTCTAGATCTCCGTGCCATGCGGCAAAGTCGTCAAGATGACCGCTTTAAACGTCTTCAGTTTGGTGTTCAGGTGGAGATCATAACGATTCCATAAGGAGTTTTACAGCCGGCCGAAGGCTCGGCTAGGTTTGGGGACGTGGTTAAGTACTTCATCGTCGATTTTGAGGCAACGCAAAAGTTGCTGCTTAAGTAGGCGAAGTTGTCTACGATCTCCATTTGGGTGTTCTTTATGTAAATGCGAGGAGCACTGTATACGGCACTGGTTGACAATTGATGCATGATCACAGTTTTGTCCGTATCGATGGTCAGCCCGATGTTGGCGCAGTCTGAGGCAAAGAGTCCTCTGCTCCGTTGAGGGTCAGCTTCGGACAGGATGTTGAGTGCGTAGTTATCAACAGAGTGCAGGTAGTGGACAGTAGTCGCAGAAAGACGCGTTGGGGTCTGCCTGCGCCGGTCGTTGAGATGACCGTCGGCCCTGCAGGCGGCGCAGAGCTCGGGATGCTCATCAGGGTAGGCGTCGACTGACATGGCAGAAAACATGAGGTTGAAGAGGATTGAGCAAACACTCAATCTAGCTTCACTCACTTGAGTACTGAAAATGCTTCTGAGAGGGTCACGTTGTCTGTGACACACCGTGTGCTTAAATCGCATAGAACATCCGAATTTCTGCCTGCCTTTCACAGCCCTTTGTGATTCACCGTATCGAAGGTTTTTGCAAAGTCCCGAAGGTAATGTAGAGGTAAGTTCGCGTTTTCCAGCACGTTCTTGCAGCTGGCGAGCCGTGAATTTCATGTCGGCGGCTTCGCGATGGCGTCGGAATGCACGCTGACTTTCGGTCAGAAGCCCTTGTTCGAGATGACCGTCTAGACGGTTGAGGAGGATGCGAGCGAAGATCTTCCCGACAATATTGAGCAGTGAGGTTCGCCTGTGGCTATCACATATTTGCCAACTTCATTTACACTTATATAGATGGGCGACTGCCGCATTTCTGGAGTCCTGGGTAAGTTGTCCTCGGAGCCACACCTCCAGAAATAACACTGTGAGTTAATTCATCAACCAGGGACCGCCATGTTTGCAGACTTTTACCGGAATCGCATCGGATTTCAGGGCTTTTTCACTGGAGATTTGCTGCACGGCTCGGACTGTTTCTGGGAAATAAGGCGACAGATCCAGGTCGTTGTCAGTTTCCACTTGAGGGAATCGTACGATGGCGGCTTCGGAGATAGTGATGAGCAGTTAAGGACACTTCTGATGTGCTCGGCCCAGCGCTTCATAATTTGGGATTACTAGTGGGACAATCGGACACATCAGTGGGATGACTGTGAAACTGCTGTAAAAAATGGCTTAGTAAAGTGTGCAATAAAACCCTAAATTAGCTTAAGCTGACGCGCCAATGTAGAAAATACGGTATCGGCCCGACCAGCCAATCGAAAGTGACAACGTGTGGTGAACGCCCTCCGGCATGGTGTGCAGTAGTACATGATGAAAAATGCACTGCAGAACTGACGATTTGTTTTGGATAGGCGAGGTTATGCTAAAATGGCACAACTGCATATTGCTAAAATGGAAAAGGGCAGTCTATTGCTGGGCTTTAGAGGTATGGTTAGTCGTATGGGGCTGAGTTAGTGTGAGGGCTAGGCTGAGGGATATTATGGAGGTTAGGATCGTCTCAGTCTAACCCAAGCCGTAACCGTAGACCAAAGACTAACCCTAACTTTATAACAAGGTGAGCTCGTTGCAAGCTCTTAACGAGGGCGCGAATCAGCGGTCGCGAGTACGTTTCGAGCTCCGATTTGTGCAGACATCCTGGCTCGATGCGCCCTCGCTATTACATCCTCGCAGCGAGTTCGGGATTTCGCGACGGCGAACTCGGTCCGTGCTCGTATTGAGATCGAAAATGCGAGATTC